TGTCTAAGTGTCTTCACGTAGGAAAAAGCTTCACATGTGTTTCTGCTAGTCATGCGGCTTCTACAGGCGCAGACGCTGTGACGCAAAAATGAAAAGTGAGCCTCACTTCATCTAATTTTGGTCCTACTATTCAAAATTTTGTGAGGTAAATATTAACTGAACATTTTCGCCCACTATAAACCTTTGATGCAAGAACGTCCCCCAACCCATTCAGCAGCTGCTACAGTGCAGAATCGCTGCAGTGATAGTGTTGGAAACGTAAATGGCCGTTCTCCAATCACTCTCCTTTTATTTTTCACACATTTATATCAGTGTGACATTTGAGGATAAGCAGTACGGAATTTAAGAACAGCAGCTCTCCTGATTTGGTTTCTTGGGGCTAGTAGACAGCTTGGTCTTATGGCTGGCATCAAAGGTAGGTGTGGATGTGCTCCTGCTAAGGGCCCACAATCCAGTAGCCACCCACTGACAAAGGGCCCCAGGACCTGCTCCTTCTCTTTACACTGCAAACTGCTTCCATTCTGGCCCAGACAAGAATGGCAGTGAAGAGGAGCAGTCAGTATCACTACCTGCTCACTGGCTCTGTCCCTGTCAAGCATTCCCTCTTGAAATAATTATAGCTGTTGTCTAAAGTAAACAAGTAACCAAGAGACAACCATGCTTTGGGCTTATTTTCAATTCATGCAAAGGCTGCCTCTGAGTTCAAGCTGTAGGACCTGTGTATAAGATGCTGGTGTAGTGTATTGGGAAAATTCAGATAAATCCTGGTAGGAAAAGGTTGTGTATATGTGCCTTTGTGTTCAAACCTCCGTCTATTTCTCAGCAGCAGAATTCCAAGCCAGGTTATTGTTTAGTGTTGCTGTTAATTTAAGAAGATGGACTTCTTAGGTGGACTGAGAAGCTGCTATAGGCTGATATTGTTAGTGAGGAAATACCCATGTAACAAGCAGTTGCAGAAAAAACTGAAACAAAAGTGTCCATTTGTTTCTGAATGGACCCACTTAATCATCTAGTTCTGTCAAAGCAGTTTTCCTGAATGGCTCCTCAATCAGAAACATTTCATGTTTAAACAGGATACAAACTGCAAAGAAATCTACTGAATTGACATGTCAATAAAGCAATCAGCAATATTTTCCATACTATTGTTACCAGTATTTTTTATTTAGAACATTATATCATGCCTAAAGACATCAAGATGCTATTGTTGTAACCTCATCTGGAAACTCTGTATTGCTGTATGTGACTAGCAGGTTATAAAAGTGTCTGTACATGGGCTGTGATTTTGTAGTAGTGTTTGTCACTACCCAGGGGCATGCTGTCATTAGTTACTGTAGGAACTGGGGCACCGATCTGATAAAGCTGCAGAATTCTAGATGTGTAGACCTTCCCCATTCCAAATGGAAAACCAAGAGTCTGTCGAGTGTCACATGCAACAGCATATACCCAAATCTTACCCCAGCTTTAAATTCTTTATGTAGCCTTTGATAGGCCTCCATCTTTCAGCCTCAATCTTCTTTCTCCAAACTATGATATGGGGTTAATACTGTCATAACATACACAGCTGTTGTCAGGGTAACTAAGATCATATGAAATGTAGGAGCATGAACATGTTTTTCTTAAACATGAATTGTGTGATTGCAATCCTTGGCACAAGTCTCCTGTTCTTTTCATTTCTATTGTAGATAGAAAACCAGTAAAATCTCATTGTTTACCTTACTGACAGGACAAGCTACTCAGTGATCTTATTTGGATGACCACAGAGGTAGCCTTTGAATAATCAAGCCATGACTGTAGCTTATCATACTGAGTGTGTTCACACATAATGCTAGGCCATCCTGTGCAGTAATGCTGTGGCACGCTATCTCACCTTGTGTCCTGGGTTTAGATGGGTGCTTCATTTCCATACTTCTCCATCTTACCTCCACATGGCTGCCAGTGTCCCATCAGCCCCTGCAACTCAGAATCAATTGCAGCGTGCACTGTTCCCACCTGCCTTTCCCTCATTGGCCCATACTCTCTTTTGGGTGTGGCCCCAACCAGCTGCCTTTAGGGGGTGAGTGGGTGGGTGTTTGCTGTTCTGCAAGGCAACTGGCTATAGAACTTGCACATGGTGCCATGGGGCCGCCTTCCCACTGCAGCCAGGCACATGGAAGGCATTAGCATGGGCACCTGTGCCAAGGAGGGAGACAAAGCCAGGCAGACTTCCCCAAGAGTGTCCATGTTGGTATCTGACAGGAAAAATTTTCTGGCAGGCTGCTAGGACAGGGTTAGTCCCACAGCTGTGCAGGATGGGAATAATGGGGCTTGTGGAGAGTCCCAAGGATTGTCAGGGACAAGATGGGAGGCAGAACAGCAGACCTGGTCTTCTCAGGGCCTGGTAGCAATGCCCCACACACAGCCCACATACTCCTCATGTGTAAAGCAGCCTTCACATGAGGAAACCACTGGCTTTCTGAATGACACACTTTGCCATTTCTGAGTGCCACTCCAGTAAAGTGTGGTAGCTAGACTGTAATACCAAGCACGGCTATCTCTGCAGTCACTGCTGCTGAATGCAGAGCCATGTGATGCCTCACTGCCAGCAACTTCCAAAGTTTCAGCTGGGGATCAGGGAAGCAGCACATGGACAGGAAAAAAAAGCCACACAAGGCAGTTAATCAAAGCATGGCAGGCTCCAACACAGCAGTTGCTAGGCAGAACAGGATTGTTAAAAATGCAGGTTGGATCTGCATTTGTTGCATCTGTGACTGCTCTTGCTTCCAAACTCTATGGGAGAAACATGGCATCCATGTGGAAACATTCTAACTGGGTTCAGACTGCAAAACAAGCCATAGTGAAGTACAGAAACCTTGCAAGCTGATATTCCTCATGGAAACCAAGCACACTCTGCTTCACTATGGAAGCTGGGTTCAGACATCATGACAAGTTATGCCTGCTCAGTTTCCACCATGGATTGTCCTTATGTGTGAACCCACCCTCTGTTTGAAGCTGGTGGGGTTGGTTGTGTGAGGCTCCTACTCTAAGTAAGACTAACATTGGCTACTATCCCTTGTTTTTGTTACTGAGCAGCCGCATATATCTTCAATTAAATTTTTGTGGAAATACCTAGCATTGCAGAGGCTATCAGTTTCACTCTGTATAAACACTGTACCTCAGGATATACAAGCTGTGATATCAGAGTGGTATATGTGTACACAGAAACACCATGTGGAAAGCTGCTTTGGCAAGATAAAAATCCCCAGAATTAAAAAAAAATAGAGCAACTCAGACTAGTTTAGCCAGCTGCATTGCACTGTAGTTGCAACCAAATTATAATAATTATTACATATCAGCAATGTGGGATATGCAATTAGCTTAATATTTTGGATAGCACAGGAAGTCAATCTTTGTGATACCAGAAACAATGAAGAGTCTTGTGGTACCATAAACATTAACGAACTGATTATGGCAAAAGCTTTTGTGGGCTACAGCTGTGTATGATATTATTATGTCATATCTAGTAGTGGGGGCTATTGCTGTTATGCACAGACAATGCTTTTAATGAACAAAACAATGGCAGGGACCCAAACCCTTCCAGACACATGTAAAAAGGTTTTCTGCATGTTCATGGGTAGAGGAGGGGGAGAGGAAGTTGGTAATTCCTCTCTTTCCAACTTCCCCTCTAAGTCACTGGATGGGTGTCTGCATTAAGGAAGGGGAAAAGGCCCCTTTATATGAGCTGTAGTACACTTGCTTTAGCTTGGATGAGCCATGAGGACTAGCATTGTAAAAACAGGCAAATGTAATTTTATGTTATTAACTGAATTGCTCTTTTCTAAACACAGAAGGTTTTTTTTATTATTATTCTATCATCTATAACCAGCATACTTGACAAACTTGATCCTTGATTAGTGGGAGGAAAGAAGCAACAGATTGGCATACAGGAGAAACCTAGGTGGAGAAGTGGAAGAACAAGGAAATCATTTGGTATTTAAAAAAGGCAAGGACAGATTTCCTTTAGGGGTCATTTAAAAGAAACACTGTTTTTTAACCCTCTGTTCTAGGATAGATTTTTTTTCCTGCCTTGTGATTTGAATGCTGCTATAGGAAATCAAGATACAGGAATCTGCTTTCTTTGATCCTTCAAGACATGTGCAAACCAGAATTAAATGATTAATCACAGCACTAAATTTCCAAAAAGAAAAAAAGTTCCATGTGTTCATTATAGTGCAAAATTGGTCATCATTCTTAACAGAAGTCTAAAACTTTTTTTTCTTTTTGCACTGACTGCACCCACAGTCAGATGACTGATGGTGAACAAACAGTTGTTAACTAGGCACTTTCTGTGCTGGCCTCTGCTTCTGAAATTCTTGAAGAAGGGGGTCTGGCTGGCAAGATCTTTTCATAGGTTTTACTGGCAGGTGAAAGCTTTTCATATCAAAATGCTTCCAGTATATTTTCGCTGGCATGTTGCAAAAATGTTTAGACTTGTAAAAGTAGCAATTGTTTGACTTGTATGGTTTCTGTTTACAGTATTTTATCCTGAATGGGTCACTCTGTTTTACCTAAGTGATTAAGGACCTAATCCTGTGGACTGCATCCTTTCTGCTCAGAAGCCCTTGAACTTAGGCTTGGTCCTATGCCCTGCTGGACTCAAGGAGAAGCAATGATATTTGCTCATCTAGCAATAGCACTTTGGAGGCAAGGAAAAGAAATTGGAGGAGGCTCAGGATAAGTTGAATCCTGGTCTCCTCCCACCAGAACAACCCACTTCTGACCTTCAAAAGGCAGCTGGTGCAGTTCTTTGTGTTGCGTGCGAGGGGGTGGGGTAGGAAGATATTCCCCTTTCTGACATCCAATTGTTTTGGAGTGCCCAGAAATCATAGGATTGCTCTTTAATAAGATCTGACAAAAGCCTGCTTTGTCAGTAGTTGTTTTAGTGTATGATGGCAAAATGTGAAACTTTTGCTACAGCTCATGACTAAGTACAACAAATATATTTTTCTCAAGTTAAGCAGATATTTTTGGAATGTTTAAACTTTAATCAGTTGATTCATAGTCAACTTATCAATTCCAGTATGTGGAAGTTATAGAGTTTCCTTATTGAATTTGATTTACACTTTAAATACAGAGGATAGAACTTCTAACATCCAAGCATTTAAATCAGAAAGCAGTAATATTAATCAAAGCTAAAATGCACCCATAAATAATTCCTGTACAAAAGTACAACAACATGCATTATTGCCTCAAAACATTTATTTAAAGAAAATGAATCAATATACATATTTAGTAACCTGGGAGGCAAAGAGAATGGTTTGAATTCACCAATCAGAGCAGGCTGACAAGATGGTGAATAAGAGCACACCACTCCAGTAAATCATTTCTTTACGTCACAGCATTCTAGAGGTAGGGTATTACAAAATAATCCAGAATTGCAGCACAGACCGAGCACATGTTGTTGCTCATTACAGGAACTTGTTGATTCTGAAAATAGCACCAATGGCATATATTTAAGGCATAATGCTGCAAAATGATGATATGCAGCTGAATCTGGCCTGCTATTGGGATATATCTGCAAAATGTGCTGAAGCAGCAGCTCTTTGTCAGTGTCATCCTCAAATTAAAATATTAATTGTGATAATCTAAAAATACCAGAAGATGAATTTGAGGAATAAGCATGTCTCTCCTCCCCACCATAGGAAAGAATGTAACAGGGAAATGGACATATGTGACTATAATACTTTCTGCGTCAATTTCAGGTCAATAGTGAACAGCTACAAGCAACACAAAGTAAAGCTTGCAGATCCTACTCTGAAATTCTATCTGCAAAACACAAGACCATTTAAAAATCTGTTTTGCCAGAAGGATTTTCAAATGGAGGCATTTCTGATTTTCATGGTTTACAAAGTCTCAGAAAGAGGCAATGTGCTGTAGAAACTGGGAGTGTGCTATGGGAATAAAGCCATTTAGACAGACACATGACTGCACAGGCTGGGCACATTTCAATTTCTATATCTACCCTCATAAACAATGTGAAATAGTCACAGAATTTACCAGATGTGACAATGTGCAAGTCTGCAAGCAAGCAGTTAGGAAGGTAAAACAGAAAATCGCTAATCTTCAGAAGGATGTGAACAAAGGTGGGATTAGGTGTGTTCTTAGAGAATCAGTGTATAATTTACTTTTCCTCACTGCTTCTTGAAGTATGCCGAATACTTTCCTGAAAGGGCAGTGAAGTACTCAAAACTTTAAAAGTTATTTGCAGCACCTGTCTGAAGCCTCAAGAAGATGAAGAAAAAATAATTTTTACAAATACTTCTTGAAACAACAGTGTTTTAGTATTAATAAAATGTAACATAAAATAACTACTTTTACAATATTAAGAAGTAATAATGTAGGCCTACATTTCAGTAGTATGAAATCATAAATATGTAAGCCATGGTCTTTCCCATGCAAGTGCAGTGCATGCAGAGAAAGAAATCTCCATAGGATGGAACAAAGACCTGTTTTGCTGGCATGAATGCCTAAGCACTCATTATAAGGAATTAGAAATCTGTGCATCCATCCCTTCTCTGCTCAGTCAAGGAACAGGAATTTATTCCTTAATCAAGTTTGGGAAGTACAGAAAGAGGCTGGCTGGATTACATGTCCATGCACACATACTAAGGAAGACAGGTGTAGCAGGCTTTGTTATAACCTATGAAAAATCCTGTATATAGACGCTGTGCCCATCTGGAGAATAACCATGTTTATAGGTTCCAAAGAATACTTTAAGAGAAAAAAAGATTATCTAATTTGCTGATGTTAGCAGGTAGGTAGTTTCGTAGACTATACTTCAATAACACACCACTTTGACCAATGTTTAAGATGGAAGTACATAGCATATATACTTGGAAGTAAATACAAATACAATCAATATGACTTATTTCTAAGTAAAATATCTTTGTTCAGACTATTTTAATGCCCTTCTGATAAAGACCATGACCTTTAAAATAACTAACTTACACAAAAAAAAAGCCAAAGATGATCTAATTGTTCTGTCCAATTGAGATTTCTGAAAACAAGGATAATCCAGAGAAAGCATTTGCTGATGAATATGACTGCACAAGTACTTTTCTGATTAAACAGGACAAATCTTAACCAGCAGAAGATGTCACTTCCAAAGGCTGTGCACAATGCACAGTCTATATAGCAAAGGCTGGAATGATACCCAAGAGACAAGATGACAAAATTAAAGAACAGCATGGAAAATAAATATACAGTTTTCTTTAATACAGTTATCTGTTTCAAATATCAACTATTCAAAGGCAGTGGTTTTGTGGCTTGTGATGCATCATCAGGCAGTTTCTCTTGCCTCACCTCAACAGATTCTCTGCTGATCGATAATAGTTTTCGTAACTCTTTATTTTCAAGCTGTAAAACCAATACAAACAGTTCAAAACAAATAAGTTAGTGACAAGTACAACTTTCTCTGCGGTGGTGCCCAATCTATGGAATGCGCTCCCCAGAGAAGTCTGCCTGGCGCCGTCATTACTTGTTTTTCGGCGCCAGGCGAAGACCTTTTTAGTCAAACATCATTTTAACTGTTGATGCTATTTATTTATTTCATTCTTCGGCCAGGGCAACTTATTTTATTTTATATTGTTAACTTGTTTTATATTTTATTGTATTTTAATTGATATCTTTGTGAGCCACCCCGAGGCTTCAGCGAATGGGGCGGCATAGAAATTTTCTAAATAAATAAATAATAAACTATAAATGATTATTTCTCTTGTTCCTCATCAAATATAAAAACAATGGCTTACTTATATGCCATCTTACATGTTACACAATACTATAAGATATTTCTACACTTCCCCGCAAAAGACTTATTACCCCTCACACATAGGTTATTTATTTTATTTATTTATTTATTTAAAACATTTCTATGCCGCCCCCATCGCAACAAAGCCTCGGGGTGGCTCACAACAAAAACAAACAAAAGCATATAAAAATTATAAAATAAAAATATTAAAACCCGGTGCATCTCGGGTTACACTCCCTCAACATCCCACCTTTCATTATTAACCTGTATTGTGATTTATAAGGCTGACTGAAGACAGAAGAAAGAAATGGTGGTTCAGATACTCAATAACCATGGCAAAATGGTCACAGATGACAAAAGCAAAAGTGCTCAATTCCTACTTTGGCTCAGTCTTCTCCCAAAAAAGGGTTTATGATTTCCCTAGCAAAGGTGAAGTCCAAGCTGAAGGGACAGGATTGTAGCTTGAAACTGATAGAGCAAATGCTCAAGGAATACCTTATTACTTTGAACAAGTTCAAATCTTCAGGGCCTGATGAACTTCATTTAAGAGTAATAAGGGAATTGGCAGAAGAACTCTCAGAACTACTGTCTACTATCCTTGAGAAATCATGGAGGATTGGTGAAGTACCAAATGACTGGAGGAAGACTAATGTTCCTACCTTCAAAAAGGGGAAAAAGGAGGAATCTGGGACTATAGAACAGTCAGTATGCAGTCTGACATCAATCCCTGGGAAAATTCTGGAGCAGATTATGAAACAGTCAGTCTACAAACACTCTAAAAACATTACCAGAAGCCAACATGGATTTGTCAAGAAGAAATCCTACCAGCATAACCTGATCCTATATTTTGATTGGGCAGTCTCCCAGGTGGACTGTGGGAATGCTGCAGACATACTGTATCCTGACTTCAGCACAGCTTTTGACAAAGTGCCATATGTTGTTCCGATTTGCAAACTAGTGAAGTGTAGGCTAGCTGGAGCAAACAGCAGGTGGAGTCACAGTTGGCTACAGAATCAAAGAATGTTTCTCAATGGTTTCTTGATGTGGAAAGTAGGGTAGTAGTATCAGATGCAGAGACATAAAAAGCAGAAATGTCAAACGCAGTCTGGTCCAGGTTTTTGTTGGGGGTGGGGGCGTGACTTCCAGTTAGTACAGCTTGAGGATGTTGACAGTGTGCTTGGAGAGGTTCATGCATGTATATCCAAACTCAATCCTTGCCTCTCTTGGCTAATAAAACCAGGGTGGGAACTGCTGGCTGGGCCAGGGAGGTATTAATGCCTCTTTTCGATGAGTGGTTCCTGGCCATGTGAAACAAACAGTGATGAAATCACTCCTGAAGAAACCCTCTACGTATGGACCTAGAAGAACTCAGTAATTTTAGGCAGGTGGCAAACATCCCCTTCCTGGGCAACTTTCCTGAGCAGATAGTAACCAACCAGCTCCAAGCACTCTTGAATGACACTGATTATCTGGATTCATTTCAGTCAGGGTTCAGGCCTCATTTTGGACAGAAACAGATTTGGTCACCCTGTATGATAATCTCTGCCAAGAGAGAGATGGGGGAGTGAGACCCTGGGCTCATCTGTTGGTTCTCCTGGGCCTCTCAGCAGCTTCTGATATTGCCAATCATGGTATTCTTCTGGAGCAACTCCCTGAGTTGGATAGGAGAGGCACTGCACTGTTCTGCTTCTACTCGGATGGTAAGCTCCAAAAGGTGTTGCTTGGGGGATATCGCTCTGTCCCTTGCATTCTCTAGTATGGGGTTCCTCAGGGGTCAGTCTTGTCCCCCATGCTATTTAACATCTACATGAAACCACTGAATGAGACCATCTGGAGTTTTGGAGTGCACTGCCATCAGTATGCTGAGGACATGGATGGAGGCTAACAAACTGAAGCTCAATCAAGACAAAACTTAAATGCTGTTAGTGGGTAGTTCTCCTGACTGGACAGAGGGAATTCATTCCTTTCCAGATGGTGTTGCACTGCCCTTGAAGGAGCAGGCTTGTAGTTGAAAGGTGATTCTTGAGCCATCTTTATGACTTGAAGTCCAGGTGGCTTCAGTGGCTCAGAGCACCTTCTACCAGCTTTGGCTGGGGGGTCAGCAATGCCCGTGTCTGGATGGAGATAACTTGCTGTCAGTAATCTATGCTCTGGCACTCTCTAAACTAAATTACTGCAATGCACACATAGGTAGGGCTGCACTGGAATATTGTTTGGAAGCTGCATCAGCCTAATTAATAACAGGGACCAGACAGTCTAAGCCAGGGGTCTCAAACTCGTGCCCCACGGGCCAATTGCCGGGACGGGTGGGGCACGGGGGAGGGGCCCTGCGGCCTTCAAAGCGCTGGCGGCGCCCGGGCCGGCCTCCGGATGAGCGGCCCACCACCACCGAGGTGGTGGAATACTTGATGCGGCCCAGCCTCACCCAGACTCTACTTCCAGCGGCCCCCAGGTAAGTTGAGTTTGAGACCCCTGGTCTAAGCGCATAACACCAATTCTGGTCTACTTGCACTGACTGTCTATATGCTTCCAAGCCCAGTCCAAGGCCTGGGACCACAATGTCTGATGGAATGCCTCTTCTGACAGCCATATCTCCAAGCACTACGATCAAGATCTGGGGCCTGGCTCTGACTGCCATCTCTGAAGGAGGCCTGGTTGCTGGCAACAAAGAGAAGGGTCTTTGGTTGTCCCCAGTTTTGGAAGAAGTTCCCCATAGAGACTTGTTTGGCAGCAACCTTACTATATTTGTGGCACCAAGCAAAGACTGTCCTCTACTGCAGGACATTCAATTAGTTTACTAGCACTTGTTAGTTGCTAAACAGGTCCTAAGATTTTTTTATGTTATTATAATTTTGTATCTGTTTTAATTTTGGTTTTAAATTTTGTATGGTAAGCTTTTTATGATGATTTAATCTAATTTCATACTGTATTTTAAATGTCTAGATTATTCAGAAATCCAGCCATTGGGATCAGTTTCATCTTCCCCACCAAGAAAAAAAGTTATTACAGTCCAACCCTAATGTAGAAAATGCAAGAGAGGCAGTTTAGATGCCATTTCGAAGCCCTAATTCTTAATAATTATGTATTTTAATGTCTAAACTCTAGTTTGAAGAAGCCCCATTTACACAGTACTCTAATTGCTCTCAGTTTGTATCACTTAAATGTTGACTAAAAACATTTTCTGTATACAGCAAAAGTTTTATCCTTAATAAAGTTAATTTGTTTTCCCATCAGAGAGAAGCAATGGATATTTGAGATTCAAACTTCTCACTTATAAGGGCTTTGTGCACTATCTTCATGCTCAATTGGTCCAGCTGTGGCTACCTGCCTTCCCCTCTGATCAGTTATAGTGAAGACTGCAAAAAGACTTTAAGTCAGACGTGAATTAGCTTTAAATGCAGCAGTCAAATCTACAGTAAGCTTGAAGCCTGAAAAAAACCTTTCAGTAACTGTATGGAACAAACATATTCTACCCACACTTCACAGCTGTTAATCGACTTACCTCTAACTGTGCTAGCTTCTCCTGTATTTTATAATACTGGTCATTGTCAACATGAACTGCTTTCCTCATCATCCCTCCCATCTCACAGATCTTGTCTATTTGACTCTCAATTTCCTGTAGATAAATATCAAAACAAAGTTATTGCCAAAATAAATTACTAAGGAAAAAAAAACAAGTCATGATAGACCAATAGAATTTTCTTTAATCAAGTTACTGCTTTTGTCAACAAAAGTAAGTAACATAGCTAAGCTTCAGCAAGATATACTAGAAGGGTATGACATCTGTATAAGAAAGGCTAACAATGCAGGTCAGACAAATATTCTTAAGATGGATATGTAATTGGTTGGATATACACTTGGAAATAGAGTAATCAATAGAAGTTTAGCAATCAGTATCTGTAGAAGATAGTAGATGTCCACTTAAGGGAGCAGGGCCTTAAGAAAAGATTTGCAATTGCACTGAACTCATTGGGATTTACTATCTATCTGTTATACTTAATATAAATAGGAAGATGCCTACATTGGAACTGTCCCTAAGATCTAACTAAAGATGAGCCAACAACTATCCATCCATCCATCTTCAAAGTTATAGGCCCTTGAAGGGCTCTTTAAGAGGCTAACATTAAAAACAGGCTAATAGTACAATTATAAGTACAGGGGGAAGGTGGCGGGAGTGAGCTTTTACAAACAGGTGTTAAAGTCAGGTGTTAAAGTCAGATTTTCTCTTATATAGTGCATTGCAAATTTCTGGAAAACAACTGGGATAGTAGCTATCTGTTTTTGGTAATAGTTATATAAGAGGAGTTATGACTTTCTTCTGCAAGAACGTACTTTTAATAGAAAGCTTAATGTTTAAATACTCAGTTGTTATTTTGCCTCACCATGGCTGCAATATAAAAAGGGCCTTGTTCCTCACCTGCCTACGCACAACAGTGTGCGTATATCTGCCATTGGTGCACACCTCTCCTATACTCTATTGGCCATCCACCTATACATGTTACATGCAAGACAACTGACTTTATTCTAAAAGGAATACAGAGAATGCTCTAGGTGGGCACAGTCTTCCACTTCATTGTAATAGGCCACCTAACTGCCTGAGCGTACACCTGTGTATGCATACAAAAACAAATATGGGGAGGACCCTTCTTGAAATTTAAGTATTGTGTTTACAGTGGAATTACATTTTTAAAATAATGAAAGATAGATGAAACGGATTTTTAAAGTTTTAAACACAGGGTTGTATCTGACAATGTCAATCCACTGACAGAACTGTTTCTGTTTCTGTCAGTGGAATCAGTAGGAGTGTGATTCATCCTGCTGCCCCACCCCAACAGCTCCATGCACACCCTCAAAATCTGCTCCAGAAGGCCAAGAAACCCTATAGAACAGGTTTTGAGCAGTGCAGAGGGTTGAGAATCCCATTCTGTCGGTAGACTTTTGCTAGCACAATGTGAGATTTAACTTCATACTAATCACAAGATTAACTTATTTTTAAAGCAACTAGCTTTTCATCTCAAGACTTAGGAAGTCCAGTGTTCCTGTGGAACTCTTAACAATCGAGCAATATACAACCAAAGCAGTATATGAACAAATGTGTTTGGCAAGCAAAATGTATTCACTTTCTTTTTTACTCCACTCTGGATTTTTCTAAAGCTAAGTCAAAAGAAACAGGACCAAGGAACCATGCCCTCATTCATTTTTTATTGAGCAATGACCACCATATTGCACTTCTGAGATATGCAAGCCTTTTGCCCTGTGTGCCTTTTTGTCAGATTTCAGCACTAACTTCTATCAATCCTGCTTGTAGCTCACAGAGGAGGGACATAGGCAAATGTTGAAATAGGACAGAAGGTACAATAGTTGCATTCTCTCCTGCTAGCTCAAAAAGTTTAAAAGAGATATCAGGTTGCAATCCAGAAGCACTACAGTATAATAATTGTTATAAAGGCATGAGGGATTAGGAGAAGAAAACTCCTGAATCTTCATTTGTACAAGCAATACAAATCCACTGTCAATTTTCTTATGGCATTCCACAATGCTGAATTCACCAGAAGTTATTATGTACCTTAAAGACTACCAAATCATTTTCTTTATAAAAATCCTAAAGATGACAGCTTGTGCCTGAGTTGCAACTCTCTGTTCTAGAAACAGAAGGCCCTACTGACTGTAAACACTAATGAAAGATGCTTCAGATAAGAAATTCTTGAGAAAACTACATAAGAGGCAAGAAGAAGCATCATTGGGACAGATCACAAAACTCAAGCAACTCCTTTAAGTGTTATCTTTATTCTATTGTCAATTTCTTCCTTTGCAGAGAAAAGGTAATACAGCAATTCCTTACTGCAGATTGAGCCTGATGCACCTTCAGAACTGGCCGGGCATCCACTTCTTTTCTTTTCATCATGAGCTGTAGCATATGTTTCCTATATTTGCTCATAATAAGTTCCAGTGCATCTTGGTGTTCTTCTAAAGAGACCCACAGTTCTGTAAGATACAACATAAATTTCATGAAATAAACATGAAGAAAGCTATCTTGCTTTTTTGGTGCACAGAAATGTGAAGAAACCATTTTTATTGCCAGTGGAAAATACTGAAACTGGTCAAGTTAGGTCTGCGTAATTTCCACCAGCTTGAGGTTCAACTGCCCATATTTTAGAACGAACTATAAAAAGTCATGTACACAATTTTCTACTTGCTTGTGTAGATTTTTCTAAAAGTAAAAGCTAGGGACCAATGAAAGGTGCGTGAAGGTCTAAAGTATCACTGAAGTGAAGAGTGCAAAATCTGTGCTTGTTTAATTAATTAATTAATTAATTAATTTTAGGCATAACACAATTCCAAAATTCCCAATTATCATGGGGGTAGGAAAGCAGGAATGGCTCAGAGATGAAGGATTTTTTCTGTTATGGATAGAATGTTTTCCCTTATAGATTCATACCTGATAGTAGGACACAACTTTAAGGCCTGTGTACTGACAGGATGTGCATTAAAAATAAACAGTTGGGCTTATATAGTCTTAGCTCATGGTTTTTGATAATACCTCTTGGGCAATACTGGTTTAGGACACTGAATAACAGGCTCATGTTCCAGGAAGCCAGGTTCTATCTGAACCTCTGGAGGATCCTCTGACTGTTAAACCAGTATGACAATGGAACCAATTACCTAGAAGGTTGAGGGCCCTCCTATTCTAGAGGCATTCAAGATCCAACTGGACAGTCATCTGAGAAGGATGGGTTTTTGGAGTCCTGAATTGAGCAGGTTTTTGAATCTAATGGGCCTCCTTGGCCAATTCCAAGTCTACTATTCTATGTTTCTATAATGCCCTACACTCATCTAGTTTCATTTACATCCCAATCATATGCAGTTACCTGAAATTAAGTCTCATTTTCATATGTCTATGTGCACAGGATCACAGTATTAAAATATTTAATTGTAACTGTCAATGGAGGAGGAGATGTAAGCTGCTTTGAGCCCTTTGTAGGAAAAAGACAGGATATAAATAAAAAAATAAATAAATTATCTGGAACTATCCACCCAGCAAACAGATTGTATAACAAAAATTACACCTGTTTTCAAACATTGTAATTCTTGATCTAAATCTAACATTTACACCTTGTACTTGCACAATTGACTGCATGTGTAAGAGAAAACATAGTTAAAAAGTTATTGATCTCATACCAGAACCTTTTAAATTTTTAAAAGTTAACCCACAAATTAATAAACAATAGGTTAAGAAATATCAATTTGTCATCATAAACTTGGGGTTATTGCTCAGCTGCAAACCATATCATTATTATTATTTGATTTATGACATGATTTTATGTTCTATAGAATTTACTTTTCCACAGAAGTATAATAGAATTAGATTAGATAAAGTCAGAACAATACAAAATTAGATAAAAACACCTCAAATACGAATAAGACAATCTTATCAAATAAGACAACTGAAACAAACCCAATAACGGATTAGAACAGGCAGCTATTTTAAAGGCTGCAGATAACACAATCAAAAATTGGGAGGCACCATGTTGCATTTTTTTAAAATCTTCTAGCTCTGATTATCCTGCTCACTTTATCTAGGTTACCCCCTAACAAAAATCTGAGGCTGCATTTTATGATTTTTTAAAAAGTAGATTTATATCCTACTTTTCAGATATAATCCTCAAACCAGGTCAGAACTATACCAAGGAACATAATTAAAAACAAAAATAACCAGTTCCACTCAAACAGAACTAGCATCATTCTTTGCCACAGAGTGATTGGTTTTAGATGGGTGCTAGAGTACCATTTATTTTGGCTCAGTTTATTAGTGGTGCTGTATAACCCTCATTTGTGACATTTTGTACATCTTACATTTTAAAAATTCTGTTTGCTTATTTGAAATAATCTCATAAAGTGTATACACTGAATGTGCAACTGTGGTTCATTTACTGTTGTTTGAATATTTCCAAAATAAACATTTTCACACTTTCAAGACAATTTCCACTAAGAAAGCAGTCTAAGGAAGAATCACTACTAAAACTGAAATTTTACCATCAGACCATAATACCAGAGTTAACAAAATGTCAATTCATTTATTTTGCCTTATTTTCAGTCCATTACTACATGCACATTACAAACAGTACTAAAAAAATCACAAAAACAAAGTACTTTCTATCAATTCAGCTATATCGTTTTGGTTCCTAGATCTGTTAAGCATTTGGGTACCTGTCCAAGCATGCACAGGGTTAGAAAACTAAAAAATGAATGGGCAGATACAGTTGCTCAGTTGTTGTACCATCTTATCTAATCTAAGCTGTGCAACATAAAGAGCTGTTTGTCCCTATTCTCATTATTTGCAACTTCCTAACTTTGTGTAAAGAAATAAAATCAGTAGGCTTGGTAACCCTAAGCTTGCTTATTAAGAATTTACCCACTCACAAATAAACAAGTACAGGACTGGGATACATGCAAGATGTGCTATTATATAAAAATACTTGGTATGCCAACCTTTCTAGAGCTGAGTTTAGAGCACACATACACTGATGCTCCAGACAATGGTAAGGACCTGGAAGTCCCCAGTTAAATCTTTAAAGGCTCATTCAAGGACTCAAAGTTATATTATTAGCATATAATGCTCACCTTTGTTTTCCTGTTGCAGATCTCTGATCTGTGTGTTCTCTTGAGACAGCAAAATGTGAGGTTTGTATTTCGACAAGTCCTTCAGCTCAGATGCATCTTCTTGGTACTTGTAAAAAAAAGTTCCACATGACTCCAAACACATCTAATACACAGTATTGCACCTGCCACCCAATATACTCATGACAATATAGGATCTGCACTCACCTTGTGAGAATGAGCTGTGCCAGTCTCTTTCATGGCCACAACCCGCTTGTGCAACATGGTGGACTGGTCAATGAGAGACTCAGCCGCATTGTCATGGTCTTTTAGCCTTTCTAGCAGAGTCTTTGCATCTGTCAGGATCTTCTCTATAGTACAAGTCATGATCATATAGAACTGAAAGAGAGACAAACGAGCAAATTGGGCCAGAATGCTAGAGCTGTCAAGACAGGTGGGGTGAGGGCACTCGAGAAAGAGGGAGAAGATGCGGGGCTTCGAAACGCCTCTAACTGTCCTACTGTTTCATAAAGGAAATGGGGCCAAGCCTTGCTTTCCAATGAAAGTTGGGGAAGAGTCGAAGCCACAAATAAGAAAACGGCCCTTACCCTGTCAGTGCCTTCATCCCTGTCTTGGCGCTCAGAGGAAACCTGGTGGTTCTACTGATCCACCGAGGAAGCAGCCGCTTCTGACCCTGGCCTGTACAGCCTCTCGAAGCAACAAGCGAAAGGGAGCCAGGAGGCGGAGATGGTGAAGTTAACCCTACCCGCCGACCCGCGGAGTCGAAGAAGCGCCAAGCCCCTCTCCAAAGACCCTCGAAGAAGCCCCTGACGTTTCCGGAATACACCCACACAACCTAGTACGGCCCCGCATCAATCCCTCCTCCTCTGCTCTATGGCGCCCCTGCGCAGCGGAGAGGAGGCACGCTAGGGGGCGTAGAGGTCCGACAGGAACCGATCTCGCTAACCCGCCGCCCACCGTAGTTTCCGGTATGAAGTTCCCCTTCCTCACCCCGGCTCCAGAGATAAAGGTGTTACAGTCTTAATGTACACACTTCCGGATAATATCGATGGGGTGAGGAAGGGGGGCGGACTAAGAAACGGCGGAAATGCGTAGAAAAGAGTGTGAAAAGAAAAGCTCAGAGAAAGCATGCAGAGTTTCTTTTTGTTGTGGAAATCCAAGGGACGCGGTCATCACTCTTTAATGAAACGTTTAACCACCCATGTTTTAATCTCCCTTTTTGACTGAGTTCTAGATAGCGCTGCCATTCTTGCCCCGCACATGGAAGTTACTAATGGGAATGGGAACTGAAGGCTACCTAAAACTCTTTTGTACTTATCTCTTCGTTTCTAGAGCTTGTTCTGCGAAGCGATTGAAGTCAAATGCCGGGATCTTGTGTTTCCGGAAAAACGATCCACATTTCCTACATAAAATTATAAAAGGGGTATCTATTTTAGGAAAAGTTAGAGCACAATTCACATGGTGCAAATACGTGAGAGGATTATAAGCTCTGAAACAGTTCAATTACGTTTTGAAGAAAAACTAAAAATAGACCCTTACAGCACAGTTCTCTGCAGGTCTATTCGGAAGTGAAACAACGGGGTTCCATGGGATTTGCTCTCCGGAAAGTGTGTGTAGGATTGCAGCCTGAAATATTGTTATGTGCCATCAAGTCATCTCTGACTTGGGGAGGTCCTGTGAATCACAGCCCTCCAAAATGCCTTATCCATGACAGACCTGTTGGGCTCTTCCAAGTGCAAGGCTGTGCTTTCTTTTATGGAGCCGGTGCATCTCATATTTGGTCTTCCTTTTCCTCTTCTGCCTTTGACTTTACCTAGCATGTTTTTCTTCTGAGAGTTTTGCCTTCTCGTGATGTATCCAAAGTATGGCAGCCTCAAGGTCCCCCCCCCCCACCCCATTCTTACCTTTCAGGGTCTCTGCCTTCATCTAATTTTTTGGCTGCAGATTTCATCTGAACTGATGACTGAGCCAAGGTATGCATATCTTTCACAATGTCAGTTTCTTCATTATTAACAGTAAAGTTCTGTAATTCTTCTGTGGATATGATTTTGTCTTAATATTCAGCTGCAGTCCTGCTTTTGTACTTCTTTCACTTTTATCAGGAGTCATTTCAAGTCATTGCTGCTTTCTGCCAGTAGTATGGTATCATCTGCACATATTAAATTATTGATGTGTATTCAGCCTATTTTCATTCCTTCCTCTGATCCTAATCCAGGTTTCCTTATGGTATTTTCTGCATACAGATTGAACAGATAGGGAGGTTATATACTTCCTTATCTGACACCTTTACCTATGGGAAACTATTCTGTTTCTCCATATCCTCTTCTAACCATAGCTTCTTGTCTGAGATACAGGTTACACATCAGGACAATCAAATGCTGAGGCACACTCATTTCTTTCAGGACCATCATAGCTTCTTCTGATCCACAAAGTCAAAGGCTTTGCTGCAGTCTATGCTCAGAATGCCTCTGCTTAGTCTTCAATTCAAAGGGAGTCTGCAGCCAAGACATTTGAAGAAGACTACATGAAGGGCAGCAATGAAGGGGCTAGGTAAGATAATTAAGTGTAAGGAGCTAGATGAGATCCTTACTGCAGACCAAGGTAAAGATCATCCAAACTTGTATCACAATCTAAGGAAGAAAATTGCTGTATTTGAAACATGGTGCTGGAGGAGAGCTTTACAAGTACCCTGGACCAACAGAAAAACAAAGGGATCCTGGCAGTTGTTCTTGACTTGTGTTCCAAGGTCAGGCAGATTCAGTCTTGCCAGATGAGGAGGGGCCTTGGGAATTGATATCCTCAGTGGAAGTGGAAGAAGTGGAGGGGCTTATCTCAAGGCCACCCTGCCCAGGTGTTCAGACTCTGAGAATAGTCAGGATCTACAACTGTGGGGACGGGACATTGAAAAAAAGTTCCAGCAGTCAGCCAAGCCTGATTCGACTTTTGAACCCATCACATGGCATTGAGAGAGCTGGGTCAGCCAATTAGCAGATCGGAGACAGAAAAGGCTTGCCCAACTCCAAAAGGGCCCTCTAAAGGGACACTCAGAAAGAGGGCATTCAGAAGTAGTTGTTAGATTAGGTTCAACAAACTGCTTTGTGTATCCTCAGAGACTTCTGTAGAGACTGTGCTTACTGGATGTACCTTAGAGAATAAAGGGCTGTTGCAAAGGAATGGTCTGTTGTCTTGAATATGCGAAGAAAGAAACCTAGCTCCCAATATCCTAGAAGCAAAGTGACAAAGAGGCTATCATACTTCGGACACATCATGAGAAGATGACGCTCAGTGGAGAAGACAATCATGCTAGAGAAAGTCAAAGGCATAAGATGAAAGGGAAGACCAAATACATGATGGATAGACTCCATAAAGGAAGCCACAGCCTGAAACATGGGAGAGCTGAATGAAGCTGTCATGGGCAGGACATTTTGGAGAGCTTTCATTCAGAGGGTTGCCATAAGCAGAAATAACTTGATGGGACATCACAAAAACAGTCACTGAAAAGTCGCATTCAGTATTCAGACCCTGTATCTCTTACCTTTTGCTTTTGCTTCTTGCTTGTTCTTTACATTTGCGAGTGGTTCTTCTGTCATCCATCTAGGCTTTTTCTTTCTTTTTGCTATAGGAATTGTCTTTTGGCATTCTTCCCTAATAATATCTCTGGTTTCAGTCTACAGCTCTTCAGGCCATGGTCAATTAAGTTGAGTAATGCAAATCTGTTTTTATGTGGCTTTTAAATTCCTCACAAATGTTATTTAAGTTGCATTTTGGCACTATACTTCAGTTGGTGATCTTTTTCAGCTTGACTCTGATATTTGATGTAAGAGTTCATGGTCACTATCACAAATCTGCTCCCAGTCTTCTTGTGGCAGAGAAGATATTTCCACCTTTTGCTTGTCTGTTTGATTTCTGTATTGGCCATCTGATGGCTTTTATGTATACAGTAATCTGATCAGTTGCTTTAAGTATGTATTTGCAATAAGCAGATCATTGGCTTCATAGAATTCTATAAGTTGTTCTCCTGCTTCATTTCTTATCCCTAGGTCAAATACTCCTACAGCATTTGATTCTGCTTTGTTTCCTGCTTTTGCATTTGAGCCACCAAGATCAGCAGCATGTCTTGTTTTGCTGTGTTATCAATTTCTTCTTGACCTTTTGCATAAAAATTTTTGATTTCTTCTTAAGAAACTGTTGCTGGACCGTAGATTTGAATGATGGTTATGCTGATAGGGTTTCTACAAACTTACAATGTATAGAGAGGTCCGCCTGGCGCCGTCGTTATTTGTTTTTCGGCGCCAGGCGAAGACCTTTTTATTTAAGCGTCATTTTAATTGTTAACAGTATTTGCTTATTTTATCTGGCCAGGGCGACTTCTTTTATATTGTTATTTATTTTATATTGTTATTTTTATATTGTTACTATTGTATTTTTCTTCATGTTGTGAGCCGCCCCAAGGCTTCGGCGAATAGGGCGGCATATAAATGTTTTAATAAATAAATAAATAAATTATAGCCCTTTATTGTCTGTGCTACATCTTGCCTTAATATTAGAGCCACCCCATTTCTTCTGAGTTTGTCATTTCCAGAGAAAAACACTTTGCATTTGACTGACTGAAAATGTCCCATTTTAGTCCACTTTAGTTAGCTCACACTAAGTATTGTAATGTTCAACCATTCAATTTATTGCCTTACGGTTTCCAGTTTGCTTTGATTCATGCTTCTCATAACCCATGTCCTGACTGTATGTGTAGTCCAACATTCGACTTTTCCTTTCACCTCTGTGCATGTCAGCCACTAGATTTCCTTTCAGCTCTGATCTAGTTGCATCATTAGTGACAGTGCTATTCATACTTGTCCTTTACTGTTCCCCAGTAGCTGGTTGAGTGTCTACTGATCTGAGAGTCTCATCTTCTGGCACTATCTTTTGTTTTATTTTGAGTTGTTTCATCATGCAGTTTTAAAGCTAAGAAATATTCAGAAGTGGTTTACCATTTCTCTCTGCACAGTGCTGATTATCAACAACTGCTGTTGTCTGGGAAAGATCCTCTGCCAGTGTCATATTCAGCTGCTGCTGTCCAGTAGCTGGCATTCAGGAATTTCTCCATCTCATCAGAATCATCCATTCATTTTTGTTGATGTGACCTGAAAAGGGTGGACACCTTTTAGTCTGGTGTCCCTGCTTTGTATCAGAGAAGCAAAGAGACAGTTTGAGGAGCACATTGCTAACAATATCAAGGCTAACAGGATTTTACTAACAATATCAAGGCTTTTGAATATATCAAATGCAAGCAATCAAGCAGCGAAAGAAAAAATTGTGCCATTGGATGATAATGGAATAAAAAAAAAAAAAACACCGAGGAGTGGGGGAATTGCAGAGAAGCTGCACCAATTCTTTTTCTTGGTCTTCACAGGAGAAGATGAAGAGAAGATTAAGTATACTGGAAGGAGTTTGAGGAATTAGGGCAGATACTACTGGCAAAATATGAAATTATCTCAGCTTTATTGACAAACTGAAAGTAAGTCACTTGGTCCTGATGGTATCCTAATCCTAGAGTTTAGGATACTCAAGCATAGTAAAACTGAAAGTGAAACTTTTTGAGCAGAATACACCACAAGTCTTTGGATCCTTCTGTGTATAGCCTGAGGTTTATCATATTATTCTTTCCCTGGAGGAGAAAACCTAGAATAGCACCTAGCATGGTGTAAAAGAGATCCAGTTTGGGAATATTTTAATGAAGTTCTTCTACCTAAGGTTAAGACAGCCATCTTGCAAATTGTGCAGAAAACTATACATAATTTAAATGGTTTAAATCTAGTCTTACTGACTGGTGATTTAAATTGTGATTTAAATTTATTTATTTAAAACTTTTTAGACTGTCCCTTGCTGTGGTCTCAGGAAGGTTTAATAATAAGACAACACAGAATAAAACACGGCATCCTAGTCAAAACCTTAACCAATCAACGATAAACCCATATTAAAACAGTCAGATCTTGAAACATTGGGAAAATAAAAGGGTTTAGTTTTGTGCTGAAAAGAATAAAGTGATGATGCCAAGTGAACATCTCTGGGGAGCATACTGCACAATTGGGGAATCACCACAGAGAAGGCCCTTTTCCGGATAGTCACCCTCCTAATTTGATTTAAATCAAATCCAAGAAGGATGAGCTTGGGCAGGAGGAGGTCTTGTGTCCATCCTGCTTAACAGCAGCTGGTTTACCACCATATGTGCAGAGTGCTGGACTAAACAGCTTTGGTCTGACATGGCATGCTTTCTTACATTCTAA